CTCCAAAAAATGTTCGCAAACTAAAGTTGATATTGCGCCTAAAAAATGCTACTCTATAAACTCTGAGGAGGATTCCCCCCCTCCCACGCTCGAACTACTCGCAAATCCTTAACCTACAGGACTATCCCGCGCTTATTAAAGAATTCAGAACTTCCCTCGAGAACTCAAATTCCCCCTCCCCAAACAATTTCCCGATAATCGAAGTTTTCATCTCTCCATTCAATCACCTGTCGAACAACTCGTATTTATAAGCAGCACGCGACAAAGTCGTGGCCGAGCAAGCGAGTTATGTCCCGTGTATTTCGTTGAACGCAATACCTCCGCCCGCCTCCTCCTCTCACCTTGTTAGCTCTCGTCCCCGAGTGGCGGCTTTGACAGACGCGGCTGGCGTGAAAACGCTCGCCAATTAACCCAACTGTGAATTATGCACCGGGCCACCACTAATTTAGTACGTGACGTATGTCGTACTTGTCAGCCAACAAGACAGACTTCACTGGACGCAAAATTTCGTGAGTTATATCTATCCGTCTTTCACTCCTATATCCTCCCAACAACTTTGAAACTCAATGGTGTCTTTACCGTTTGAATGTTACCTACGACTCTGGTTCTTCTTCGTGTGCACACACACCGGACATCCGGCAGTGCTTCCCTTTGATGTACAGAGAGGCCGGCGGTAGGACATTGGATTTTCAGAACCCGACGAATGAAATATCGAGTGCTCCCTGTGCCGTACGTCCATGCAAAGTTTCCTTCGTTTACTTTGTCGTTGAAAAAACGCTGTAAAGATGGACGGGGGCGGGGGGAGGATAGAGAATAGAACAAAAATACGAAAGCAAGAAATGAAAACGAAGTTTGAGGGAGAAACTGGAGGGTCAGGGAGGAATTCTCGTCGAATACAACCCGATGACGACTGGAGACCGAGAAAGATGGTGAAGAGGGGGTGAAGAGCTGCACGCGATGGTTTATTCAGGAACAATAGATAGTCCCTGGAGTTATATTCGAATGGAGACCTACGGCGGAGTAGAGTCGGCTGCATCAAACATCTCGCAATGCTCCGAGCCACAAATCGGAAGGCCAAGAGACGATATATTTTATATCATTTCACGACTGAACACACGATGCCGCATTCCTCTTTCCCTTTTATCATCGAGAACATTCATTATATTTCTCTTTGCGTACAAAGCATGTATTTAACGTCAAAAGATAAACCGGGGTAACGAAAAAAATTGAAGGAAAGAGAAAAAAAGAACAACTCCGGGAGAACTAATTGAAGTAAATTAGTACAGTGACGTTATCCTCGAGCTGGCTCTTTCTCTTTCTCTGTCAAGCGCACACTGCACCTCATAACGTTCGAACTGAAATTCTCCGCTGTATATTACAAACTATATACAACTCATGCCAACGCGAGACAATCTATCACTTAGTCATACAAAGAAAGTTTGACGCAACGTCAAAAAGCGGACTCGTTAATTTTTCATACTATTCACCCTCCCAACGTGAAACACATATACACCATCGCAGGGTATATACTTACATCAGCCTCTCGGGGTATCCGTTCTTTCTCACTCGACACTAGTCCCCGATGCTTTTATGTGTGTAACTTCGTTCCTTCGTTCCTCCTTCCTGTCCTCTGGCCCCTAGTCCTCCGCCCCTCCGCGCCCTCTCTGGAGTCTCCTCTCACTCTGGTCCGGCAAGTTGTCCTCGACGTTACATTAATTATTCAACCTCTGGGACACAGGAGACTTGGAGCGTCACCTTCTCTACCTCGTCAACACTTCTATTCACAATGTCCAGTACAAACGTATGAGGGTGAGAAATGAAAAACAAGTTGATATCTCGATTTTTGCACGAGCTCGAGTGATTACAAAGTTTTTTATGAAAAAACGGAAAAATTAGAATATCTCGAAAACTTTGTATGAACGGGTGTATGTTTTGCATTGTAACAAATATTTTGAAAAAAAAAAAAAGTGTAATCGGTTGCGTAGTTTTGAAGATATTATACATCAAAGATTTTTCGAAAAAATCTAATATCTCCGAAGCTACTGACGCGATGGAGCCTTTCTGTAATACGAGCTGCAGTTATCATGAGAGGAGCATTCTGTCCAAATTTCAAGTTGATATCTCGATTTTTGCATAAGCTAGAGTGATTACACACTGTTAGAAATTTTTTGAAATTCAAGTAAGAGGTGCCTTTGCGTTTTCAATATTCTGAACTTGAATTCAATTTAAGACTAAATTGCGCATGGAATTCCTGATTCATCTTGGAAATTCAATAAAATTAAGTTTTCCATTATGAATGATCATTGAATTTTCAATGATAATTTGGATTTTCAAAACTATGGCGAAAATTAAGCAACAGATTGAAAATTCAGAAGAAAAGTTGCTGAATTTCCATGATTTTCAGTCATTTTCAATGTCGTATGAACCTAAGAAATCAAATTTCATTGAATATTCAAGAAAATTGAGTGATTTATCAATAACAAGATCAATGGAAATTCCATAAATTATTCGTTGTTAAAAATTTCAAGATTCTTCACTTAAAATTTCAAGAGGGATTTTCTAACAGTGCGAAGCTTTTTATGAAAAATGGAAAAACGTGAATATCCCGAAAACTTTGTATGCACAAGTGTATATGTTTTACTTGATTTTGTTAGAAAGCACCGAAACGAATGCCTGAATTTCACGCACCTTTTGTAGACATTTTTCAGACTCTAAAAAACGTCTGAATAAAATGAAAATTTGTCTGAGTTTCAAACATGAATTAAGATGTTTGGGGATCTGTTCGTCTGAAATTCAGACACATTTTCATTTTATTCAGGCGTTTTTTTGTGTCTGGAAAATGTCTACAAAAGCTGTGTGAGATTCAGACATTCGTTTTTGCTGTGAAACGATTTAAAAACGAATCCCTTTTTTTCAAAAACTAGTAAATCGATCGAGCTGAACTTGTACTCAGAGTTAGTCCTCATTAAGACCTATAGTCTGACGAAAGTTCAGATTCTTTGAAATTACTTTAGCCACTTAATTACTCAATTTTGGCGGTGGACATGCACACATAGAGACACGACCGCCAAACTTCGCATTTTTTACGTTTCCGGCCATTCTACATGATTTCCATCAAAATTATCGAATGTGAAAATCGGACGATTACAACGCTTCCATTCGGAAGCAAAAAAGAATTCAGAGCATAAAGACCGAAGACACACTGAAGATTTTTTATACCCTAATTAGCCCACATGAATCGTAAAAATTACTTTGAAATGCATTAAAAAATTATGAACGATCGTAAAAATGGGAATATTCAAGGAGAGAATGATTTTTATTGCTATTCAGTGGTAGATGGCCATTGGTTACTTTGTATATGTTCCGTATCCATTGGAACGAGTCATGACAAACCGGTGAGCGGGGCGGAGGGAGGATTGAGTAAAAAGCCGAGGAAAATGCACAAAGTTTCGCATTAAAATTGAATTAGCCAGCTCGCGTCTAACAGTGGATAAGAGCTTTCCTCGGTGGCGCTTGGATACCCGTTAATTAGTTGGCGACGTTAAAACTCAGGGCGAGTCCAGGCCTCTCGGTGGGAAGTTATACGCCGAGGTATCGAGAAGACCCCCCTACCACCCCCTTCTTGTATTTACGAGGGCAACTTTGCTCTAAGCCTTCATTCACCACCTCTTTCCCCCTCATTTCTTGCACCGGTATTTCCTCCTGCTACTCATCCCCCCACCACCCCTCCCCCATCCTTCCGTCATTCTTTCCCAAGCATCCACTGTTTTTAACTTTATCACAACTGAAGTATGATTTTACGATTCCCCCTGTTAAATATTCCATCGAGCCGTAAACCAAGCGCGTTACCATAAAAGAATCCTGTTAACGTTGAAAATTGACGAGTGCAAGGCCAATGGGGTGGTCATAATAAAACATTCTATATATTTCAGTTTCTTTGGATCTCACAGAGAGTGATCTTCGTCGAATTGAATCGTCCTCTTCTCCCAGGTTTTCATATAATTTGATGGAAACATTTCAAAGGACGAGACAATCATTCGTTCAACGTCGAATGTCCAAAGGGGCAACTGATTGAAGGCAATGCGAATGAATCGAGACTGAAAACGATCGAGAAATATCAAGGCTTCAGACTTTTTACATGGACGACCCCCGCCGTACGTGAATTGAAAGGCAAAAGGATTATGAAAGAAGGAGAGGAAGAAAGAGAGGATAATTCAGTTGTCCTCGTCCACTTCCGTCTAACCCGAAAACTCCCATCCGGTATTCAGTGGACAGTGTTGGGTATGAGCAGGAAGAACAAATGGATTTTTCCTGATATTTTTGTGAAACAATTGAGGTGAATCGAGAGGGCCCGCATAACTTGGGTCTCAGTGGCTCCACCTTTGAAGGTTTATGCCGATTCAGAATGAAGCTTGATTCATGAAGACGGGAGGGACCTCCTTGGGATCTGCGGTTCCACAGTCCCAAGGTCGTGGCGGGTGGTCCTGACTCTTGATTTCTTGTTTCCACTCTGTGCTGTGGCTGCTGGCTTGTGCTTCGCCAATGCGACAAGGAGAGAGTGAGCGAGAGAGGTGCACCCCCCCAGTAAATGCTCTCTCCGAAGTCACGTTGAAAAGCCAGAGAGAAGCCGAGAGGGAGAAAATACGGTGGACACGAGAGAGGAGTATAGATGGAGACGAACAACGAGGGGAAGGGGTGGCCCAGGCATACTCTCGTGGTCTCCAGCTCTAGCGATTGTCGATTTAAATGTTTACTAATAACCAGGCTTGTCCCACAACCACCCAGAAGTCAAGTTGCTTTGCATTTTTATAAGTACACATGGAAAGGGAACGAGGAGAAGCCACTGGGACTTATTTCCAAGAATCGACATTTCATATTCATCCCCGTCTCATCGCATTTGCGAATCTTCGCTTCCTCTGTCCCTTCTCGTGACCACTGTATTCTGCGAGCTTAGAGGTGAATTTATGGATGGGGTAGGGGGATCAATAAGTACGTCGTAATTTATCTTTCATAATGATTCGTTTATTGCGAAATTTCACGCTGGTGATTCTCTTTTGGTTGGATAACTTTTTCAATTGTTCTCACCAATGTGGCAAAATCAGGGGAGACTTTTTCATGGTTAAAACACCGGCGTTCAGGAATTTTGGACACGAATGACTAAGAGGTTTTGATGGTGATCGTGCTGACTGTCGACGTGATATGTGCGACGCGGCCTTTTTTTTTCATTTTAAACATCACTCTGTTGAAACGTAAAATCGAGAAGAGTACGATGCAACAAGACAGGCAACAGAGTCTCAATTTGAATAAATGTGCTTTTGAAGCCATAAAATCACTAATAAAGTTTGTTTGTCTTTTTACATTTGTTTTTTTGCCACTTATGCCAGCCTCGGATCAACGATCAATACCCTTGAGACCGCGTCGATCTTTTGTATTTATTTTTTACTCTTTTTTTCCATTTTTATTAAACATTGCAATAACAATAATATAAGAATCGTCGGTCAGTCCTCGTCACAAATCATCATCAATTAGCACGAATTACGATTCTGATTATATAATAATAATAATGCTGTTTTTTTTCTACTCTACATACAATACATACACTTTTGTTTTTTTTTCGTTTGTGGCTGGGCGTTGGACCAGCCCCCTGACTACTATTTACAAACGCATAAATAATAATATTAATCATCACTATATGTATATTTATAGGTTCATATACATAATATCGAATTCGTCGCTAGGGTATACGGTTTCTCCATTCTCCATTTTCGTTTCATAATTTCGGCTACAATCAGTTTTGGTTAAGGAATCCATTCTCTCATGTACTTCATTATTCGTACTCAAACGAGGATTCGATGATGAGAGAGAAAAAGGAGTTGGGTGAGGGGAGTGAGCAGGAGGGAGAGGGGGGAGGGAGGGGCAGTATCTCACATTCCTCTCTTCATTAAAATTCATTGAAACTGTACACTAATTTACAAGATATATTTGGAGTCTGTTTATTGTCAGCCACAAAAACATTTGTGCCGTGTGCCGTTGATAATATGTTTTACCCCCATTCTTTCAGAATGAATTACAATAAATTTACAGACACGACCTAACGGCTATCACGAAATCACACACGGCCAGGAGACTTGAGCTCCGACGGTGGATGACTGCCACCACTTGGATGTGGTGACTGTTGGTCCGATCTACCAGACGACGCTGTCGATGATGATGATGGCGATACACCGGATGAGGCAGTCAATATGACAGGAGGGCCGGTATTTGTACTACCGTTTATCGAGAACGGTTTTACATTACTCGTGGCAGATGACACCGAGGGTGAGGTTGTTGTGAGAATACCAGGAACACATGTGGGCGGCATAACACCCCCCAGACCACCCAGTGTCCTCGAGTAGCTCTCTAACAATGCCATATCACCAGAGCCAAGGTGAGAGGCACTGTAAAAATTTCTATAGAAATCCGGATGGGGCCTGACAAATTGCGCACCCGAGTGCATTGCAGGATGCAGTGGATGATGAGGTGGTAGTCGACTCGCCAAGGGACTGACAATCTTGCCCCCACCATTGCCACCCCCGTAAGGCGAGCCCAAACCAGTCATAGCTGGATTGGCACTCGCCTGGTCGCCGTCTTTGCTGGCCATGTCAGCTAATGACCAAATTCGAGGCTTGGTGGGTCCACTTCCTGTGGACGATGCACTCGTCGACGGTGGCAAATGACTTGTACCACTGCCAATACCACTGGGAGATGTGCTTTCAGGAGATGGATGACGAAGTAGCCGGCCGTGTGCAGCGGCCAAATACGCGGGATGCTGGAGTTGAAGTGGATGCCTAGGTTCTCGCTGATCAAACAGACACTCAGGACTGTCGGGACCACTATCAGCGCGCGATTCACTCCACTCACTCTCAGTTCTACCTGGCAAACCGCCGGATGCACCACCAGAGCCGTGTAACAAGTCTAGACGATGGGCAGGCCTCTCACCGTCCTCACTGGAACCCGTTCCCGAGTCTTTCGAGTCTGGAAATGATAAGGTTACATTCTCGTGTTATCTAGTGCCGGTGAATTAGATTAGCGACAGGTGGGAATTGATTTCAGCCGATTATACTGATACTCACCTAGTCGATCTTTCTCGTCTACACTCTTTCGCCCGCTGTCGTCATCCTCATTATTATTATCCTCGTCCTCCACCCTGTTTCTCGGCTCCCACGTCATCTTGTTCTCCTTCTTGAGTCTTCTTCTTGCATTGGCAAACCACGTTGATACCTGGGTCAGTGTCATTTTGGTGATGATAGCCAGCATAATTTTCTCCCCCTTCGTTGGATATGGATTCTTCTTGTGCTCGTTCAGCCACGCTTTCAGCGTACTCGTCGTCTCCCTTGTTGCATTTTTTCGCCTAGCGCCATTCAAATCCATTCCATAACTGCAACAAAAAGAAAATTCGAACCTCACGATAACGTCACATCGACAGAGTTCCCCTCTAGTAACATAACGAAGAAAAAAACCGTTGAAAATACGAAATATACTCTGGTGAGACAGAACAGTAAACCCGTCGGGAAACTTATCCAATCGTGGCCTCGTTACGCCCATAGCGTAAAAAAGTCCTATGAGGATCGAGGAGAGTAACTGGTATGTGCTTTTCCTCTCTAACCCAAACCCCAAGTTACTTCTACAAAGAGAAGAACAGAGGGACAGAGTAAAGCGGTGGATAGTACTTTCATCCCGACGCAGATCTCTATCTAACGGTTTAAGCTCCTTCCTTCCCTACTCTCTCTCAAGGAGGACCCACTCGTGTGCGGCTTTCAGTAGAGCGGATAGGGTACGCCAAGAGATAGAACGTCCAAGGAGAAGAGCCCCGTACCAAAACCCTCCAGGAACCCATTACTAAAAGACTAACCCTTATCAAAGATTAAACTTTGGTATAACTGCTGAATCGACGGGATCGAAATTAAATTTTCCAAGTCGACTTTGTCTCCATTCCCAAACTCTCAATCCCTATTTCTTAAATTCTCCTTCTCTTCCCATTTACTACTATTATTCGAGGAGATTTGCAGCAGTTGAAGCCTTGACACTGTCGCGAATGCTGTCATTATTGAATCCCATCTCACACCCCTGATTTTGTCAGGGTCCGCTGTGGCGTTGTCGCTGGGAGCGAGAGATGTTGGCGGATATGGGCACATGGTTCACGGTGAAAGAGAGACGGGAAATTAATAAAACTGTCAGTTTATCCCCTCTCAACCCGAGAGACACACCAGGGACCGTGGCCGGTGGGTGGAGGGCTATGGCAGATATGTACTGCATCAAGTAGAGGAAAAAAATATATATAACTTGAACCACCCTCTCATGCATGCGGGATTCAGGCAGCTGAAACGATGCGCTAAACATTTCAATTTGGCATCAGAGAGCGCTTTCATCGTGATATATATCTCTCTTTATCTGCTTCAAACTGTCGTATACATTGTATATGCGAGAGGTTTCCACGGAGTTTCAAGTGAGAAAGATGAACGAACAGACGTGATGGGTGATACGAGTGAACGAGAGTAAGTGAAGAGACACCAGTCGGGGAAATACGAGAGGGGGGGGGAGGAGGAGGAAAAAAGAAGGGGGAAAATGGAGAAAGTGCTGGAGCAGAAGGAGCGGTAGAAAGAGACGAACTGGAGCTTAATCCCCGGTATGTTTGCCAGCGGCAAATGGCGTTCTGCAGTTATTTTAAAATTCAGCCCCTGGATGAGGGATAGGTGCGAGTGAGGCTGCGAGAAAGGAGGGGGAGGGGGGCGGGGATGGACGGATTAAAAAATCAGAGTGGAAGCTTGTTTCTCATGATAACAGGCCAGTCCGTGTGGCGCTTGAGCTTCTGCTTTTCACTCGCGTCGAAGAGCTGTCAGCGGGGGCAGGCAGAAGAGTGAAAAGGGCTCCAGCGAGAGTTTTCCTCGCGACAACGATATCCGACGGTGCCTAAACACACCTGGAAAAAGGCAAATTCTCGCGTTTTCGTCTCTCCACGTACCCCCGGACTGCTGGACATTCGAGAGTTGACTCTACATAGTTTATATATACGCGTATATAGACACTAGAGTTTGAATATCGTGCAACCCTTTCCTCTCATGCGCGAACCGATCGCATCAACTGCTTGTTTCCATGGCGATTGCTAATCGGGCCGTGCTGGAGGCAACTCCCTCCGCACAACCCCTTCTGTCCACCCTCTTTTCACACCGTGGTACCCCACCTCTTCGGCGTTTGGATTCTACCGTGTGAACGACCCACGTCTCTATTCATTTAACATTCTGTTTTACTTATTTGTTGAGAGAAAAAAAACACGCTTCGGTCTCATCTGTGTATGCAGATATATTTGGACACACGTGGGGGGGCAGGTGTGCGTGTGCTTCTTTTGAGGACTCCGCCCCTTTCTGTAACCAGCTGTAAGAGGGTAAGGTAATACGTAGGGTGATACATACATTTCGACCCACCTCCCTGGGCTAAAAGCTCTTCCCCTCGCGAGTTTTAGACACGCAAAGGTGCGTAGCCATTTCTACATCAAACCGTAAGCCGCCATAATCAAACTTGTGTGTGGATTCCATAATGAACAATGTTCACGCAATCCCCCAGGTCATTTGCTTCGTGTTAATGAAATGTTGAATTTTGTAGGGCCCCTAATCCGGGTAATTAATCAGTGAAAGTATTTTAGTGGCCATTGCCTCTCAACCAGAAGATAGTCGCCATCTTTACACATTTCATCATGCACTCGAGTAATTTAATCTACCGTGAAGCCACGCCAAGCCGGATCTCCCCCAGGTGCACACTTCTCTCCTCCCATCCTATTGCAACCATTTTTATTTATTCAATCAAGTTCAAACTCGAAATTCCTCCAACACCTCATTATAAATTAATGACGAATAGTGTGGAGGGATGCTGAGAGTGCAGTTAACACGATAGGATACGTCTCGCGTAAATGCAGATACCTCATAAATCAACCTCGATATGCTGTACAGTTTGACATGGATATAAACATTTGGATTCTCGAATGAGCACTGCTATGCACTCGGTATCTTGTCATTAGAGTTGAGTTTAATGGTTGCGGGATGATCATTCTGGCTTTACATAATTCTCGAATCAGCGGTAATAAATACACGTTTTATTTATGATTTTATTATTAATGGAAATTAAATATTTAATTTCTATTAATAATAAAATCATAAATAATTTTAATTCGGTTGGAATTATTAATTCAGATGCGATAATCGATACGAAAGTATGAAAATTCAATTTTCAGGGAATTATCCCTAATATTTACTGACTCTTGACCCTAACTTGAATTGCCCCTACACGGAGAGAAATTTTTTAGAAAAATTCTAGTGCTAGCATGCGAAAAGAGTCGCAAAGTGACGGCCAGAAAAAAAAACTAGTGCCGGTACTAGGAATTTTATTGGGGAAAACGTGAATTTTCCCCCCTATTAAATTATTACTACGGGGAATTAATCCCAAGAAATTTTACCAGAAATACCAAGAAATTTTACCTTGACAGCACTAGAATTTTTCACAGCCGATGGATTGTGATTTTTTCCAGTACTCGTACTAGGATTTTTCTAGAAAATTTCTCTCCGTGTAGAAAGAGGGAATTTCTCAGTTATGATGCCACGAGACTTTCGCAATTATTGAGTATTACCCGCGCTGAGAAAAATTTTCTAGAAAAATTAATGTGCTACATTGAGAGAAAAATGTCCGAATATGTAGACCATATTTACTTGAGGGACGTAAATTATTTTCAATGGCTTAAGTCTCAGAATGTTTGCGCTTCACGGAACTCGAATATATTCTTATCTATCACTATCGCTCCGCGGCACAACATGAATGTATAATGTACATATCGAAACATTGAAAGTGCATTAAAAAATCATGAAAACAATAAATACTTGAAGACTGATGATTCGGCTATGCCATTTCAGTGAGTTCATTTGCTACAAAATGATATTTACGTGCAAGAATATGTTAAAGTATGACCTTTCTCGGGCTACGTGAATTGAATTGCCTGGGAGAATTAAGGGATTGATGAAAAATTACTTGTCTCAAGTAAATATGTTTCAAATAAATTTGTTTTCTCAGTGAAGCACCATAAACGCGCCACAATTTGCACGCTTGTGCCGTTTTTATTGTGTAGCACCAGGGGAGTTTGAATCGACTTCAAAGTTGCAATCCTGCAAAATTTACATGCAACAGGCGATTGTATTTATGAAAATTTCTGACAGGTTATAGATAACTTTCATGAATGGAAATTCTCATTCTTCGAGTGGACTACAGACACGTGATAAGATATTCAGAATCAGTTTTTAATTCCTTAGGTAATTTGACTGTAATATTATGAAATTAAGACTAAATTTTTTTTTATTGGTTTAAGACTAAATTTTATTCGACCTGTTTTCGCGGGGAATTTAGCGTAAATCATTAAGGACACTGCAAAATCGAGTCCCGATTTATTATAGTTTTCGATTTTTTTGCTTCTTCACTGCTTTCGAAACTTCTGTAAGGTTTCTCAGCTGAAGTCATTGGTCACTTATATTTTGTATCGCTTATATCACTTATATTTTACACATCGAAAAATTCACGTGATATTCTCTCAAGAGAATGCCGCAAGCTTCTGTTTCTTGTTTGTAATAGGTATATCAAATATAAGTGATATATGAAGAAGGAAATTACACGGAGTATTTATCCCATCACCCTTCCGATCAATAAAATTGCGGTGTTCGACGTCCTGTGGTCCAATTAAAAGAGAATTATGCCGACAATTCTTCCCATCCAAATTCCAGCCAATAGAATTGCTCTACACGGAGAGAAATGTTCAGTAAAAATTACGGAACTCACAGTTCGCTCACCGATTATGGAATCGATTCGGAAAATTTGAGTGACGGTATCGTAATTTTTCCCAGGCGATTCAGATAAAAATTACGGAATGCTTTGGAAAAATTCCGTGACAGTTCCGTAAAATTTCCTACAACCATATTTTGCTTCGGAATTACGGAAAAGATACGTAATTTTTATTGAATATTTCTCTTCGTGTATTCGATTGTCATTTTACATCGTCATCACGGTGTGCAGCTGATAATTTTTGTTAATTCCATTAGTAATTTTTCATGATGATATCCTTGACTTCCGGCTGTATAATAAACTTCCCTGTAAATAAACGAATGCGTCAAGTTTCGCAGAAAAAATCCCTCTCGCAAGCGCTTTTCTAACCGAATTTTTAACGCAAATTTTTTAACCTGCGAAGCTTGACATATTCATTCGTATGCAACCAAGTTATCAAGAAATACCCGACAATTTTGAAGCCCTCAGGGTATTATAACGGCAAATTACTGGTATTAATATTGTTAAGCGGCGAGTAAAAGTGTGTTCTAGAAATTTTTGTTGGAAATCAAGGAAAAATATGAG